ATCCATCCATCCATCCATCCATCCATCCATCCATCCATCCATCCATCCATCCATCCATAGAGCTACTCATCTCAAATATATGACTCTGGGCAGTTCACAGCAATTAAAAACAATATTAAAAAAACCCAAAACAATACCTCAAGTATAAGAACAATATAAAAAACCATGCAATGACACAATTCATAGCCAAGATATACCAAAACCCCATCAACAATAATCAACATAGTCACTGTACAGGCACTATCACACATCCGGGTCACCACATCTGATGGCAAAACCATGTCTTTAAGGCCCTATGGAATGCCAGTTGGGTCAGGGCTAATCTGGGGGGATGATGTTCCAAAGGATGGAGGCCACAACAGAAAAGATCTTTTTGTGGCCCCCACCAGATGGCATTCTCTAGCAGGTGGGACCCAGAGCATGCCTTTCCTGCCAGACCTAATGGGACAGATAGATGTAGTTGGGGAGAGGCATGCCATAAAGGGTCATCACCAGCACTTTGAACTGAACCCGGAAGCAAATTGGTAACTAATGCAGCTCGCAGAATAGAGGTGTAACATGTGCTGATTGAGAAGCACACAATATATCTCCTCCCTGGGCTGTCTGAGTGATGCCGTGGATGTCCTGTCTCAGTGCTGGGAGGCTGTAGGGGCCTGGATGGGGCACAACGGGCTTCGGCTCAACCCAAGCAAGACTGACTGGCTTTGGGTGTTTGGGCCTCCCGGTACCAAGGTTCTTCCATCTTTGGTTCTGGATGGGGTGGTTCTGCCCCAGACGGACCTGGTGGGCAATCTGAGGGTCCTCTTGGACTCATGGCTCCTGCTGGAAGAGCAGGTGGCAGCCGTGGCTAAGAGGGCCTTTGCACACCTTTGGATTGTGCGCCAGTTGCGCCCATTCCGGGACCAAGAGGGTCTACTCACTGTCATGCATGCCCTCCTGACCTCCTGGGTGGACTACTGCAAAGTGCTCTACATGGGGCTGCCCTCGAAGAGCATTTGGAAGCTTCAGCTGGTACAGAATGCAGCTGCCCGGGTTGTAAATAGTGTCAGTTACTCGGCACATGTAACACCACTGCTTTGAGGGCTGCACTGGTTGCTGGTGTGTTTCCAGGTGCGATTCAAGGTGCTGGTTGTCACCTATAAAGCCCTTCATGGCTTGGGACCGGGTTACCTTAGGGGCCATCTTTTCCCAGTTGTTTCTACCCATCCAATCTGGTCCAGCAGGTTGGGCATGCTCCGGGTCCTGTCAGCCAAAGAATGTCGGCTGGTGGGGACCAGGAGATGTGCCTTTTCTGCTGTGGCGCCTGCCCTCTGGAACGTCCTCCCTCCTGAGATTAGGATGACCCCAACCCTTTTGGCTTTTCGGAAGGCCTTGAAGACCTGACTTTATGCCCGGGCCTGGGGCCCCGAGCGTATGAAGGGTCCCGTTTCATGGTTGTGCTGATACCAATGTTTTTTTAAGATCTCTTGGCTGCATTTATATTTATATTTAATTTTTTGTACTGTTTTAAATGTTGGCTGTTTTTATTGTTGTTAGCCACCCAGAGTCACTGGTTTGAGATGAGCGGCTAAATGTTTTTTTAAGATCTCTTGGCTGCATTTATATTTATATTTAATTTTTTGTACTGTTTTAAATGTTGGCTGTTTTTATTGTTGTTAGCCACCCAGAGTCACTGGTTTGAGATGAGCGGCTATATAAATTGAATAAATAAATAAATAACCACTCATACAGCCAGCATGAGTTCTGCACCAGCTGAAGCTTCCAATACTCTTCAAGGGCAGCCCCATGTAGAATGCATTGCAGTAGTCCATATGGGAGGTGATCATGGCATGAGTGATTGTGAGCAAGACCTCCTGGTGCAGGAATGGGTGCAACTGGCACACAACGCATAGTTGTTCAAAGACACTCCTGGCCACAGCTGCCACCTGTTCCACGAATAGGAGCTGTGAGTCCAAAAGGATCCCAGATTGCACACAGATTCTGTTTGGGGTAGTGCAACCCCACCCAGAACAAGGGATGGAAAGTTCCCAGAACTAGGGGGCCCTAAAACCCAAAGCCACTGAGTCTTACTAGGCTTGAGTTGAAACCTGTTGTTCCCCATCCAAACCTCCACAGCCTCCAGACACCAAGACAGGACCTCCACAGGATCACCTAATTGGCTCAAGGTAGAGATGTAAAGCATACTGATGATTTTGGAGTCTTATTATGGCATACTGTTGTTAATTTTTCCATAGCAAAGAATCAATATAATATCAACACATGGAATGCACTAAAGTGCTAATTTTCATCTAGAAGTGTCTGAGGGGTGTTGTCTTTGGCTAGCAATTTGGAACTGCATAAAGAAATGAATCTCTGAAGCAAATTGAAGCCCTGTTCTAGAGTCTTGACCTGTGGAGATGTTATTTACTCTTCCTATGCTGGTGGTGTATAATCTGCTATTTCTTCCCTGGTGCAGGAGGTGTAATCTACAAACACCACCAACAGCCTCTGATTACAAATGGAAAATATAATGTTCTAGGTCCATTAAAAGATATTGGAGGATCCCGCTCTCCATTCCTGATCAAGATTCATGGCAAGTTTAACGTTGTACAATTTTGTAAAAACATTATAAAACACGTAAGGTACAAGATGTGGCTCTTGTTGTGCAATGGCTTGGGGTGTGTATGATGAGGTCCTCTTGTCACTGCTTAACAGGTTAGCTTTTTTAGATAGATCGCAAGGTTTGACTACTTTATTTTGTCCTCCGTTCCAGAGAAAGTTTTGCTCTAGAGCATCTGGCAGAGAAAATGGGGAAAATACATTGTGGAAAATGTCTCCTTTTCGGCCACTTGGAAGTCTTGTGGGAATTCAAACAGTGCCAACAGAATAGAGTGCAAAGATTAGCTTGTGATAGTATAAATTGGGGAAGAAAGCAGTCTAAAATGGTTTGAGTGTGATCTTTTGCTCTTTCTTGATTCTGAAATAAAATGGAAGCTTACTTTTAAGTGCAGGGGCTTCTCAGCACTACGACTAAAGTCATTAGCAAGTGTCTTGTTTTTTTTCCTTTCAGGTGCATTGATGTTTGTTGGATGGATAACTACAGTTAGCATAGGGGTGATCATTGCCCGGTTTTTCAAGTCTGTCTGGCCGAATACTCTACTGTTTGGAGAAGAGATTTGGTTTCAGGTGGGGGAAAAAGTGCATCATGGAGTGTCTTTATTCTGCATTGGTGTATACAAGATATGTTTAGAAGTGTTTTACTATTATGTAAGAGTTTACTTGTTAGTTTTATTCTTAACCATCAATTTTCTGTCAAATGTTCTTGGTAATAGAATGTGCATGTAATAGGTTGCTCTTAATGTTATTTCTTGAATATAACTTTTGTAGGTCCATCGTACTTTGATGATAATAACAGTATTGCTCACAAGTGCATCTTTTGTTCTTCCTTTTGTGTATCGAGGAGGCTGGAATAAAGTAAGTGACATAGATTAATCTGGAATTAACTACTTAAAATCTAACAAGTCATTTTAAACCTTATTTTAAGGGCTCAGTGTTCTGTCCCTATCCCTTTTTAAAAACATCTCAGTATTCTATAATGACATCAAGTCTTTCTATCTGTGTATGTATGCGTGCGTGCATGCGCACACACACACACACACACACACAC